ACTTTCACGATCGAGGTCAAGAATCCTGACAACTAAAAAAGGAACCAAGGAAGAATGTTCAGTGCAACTACTTTTTCAATAAAAATACCGTGGCTATCTTCCATGTCCTCAACAAGGGTAATCAACTGAAGCTTCCCGAAATCTATTGCCCCAAAGAAATTAAAAAGACTGATGATCCCAATTATTGTCTTTATTACAGAATATTAGGACACCTGACGAAGAACTGCTACATTCTTAAGGATAAAATACCTTTGTCGAGTCTGGAATTCTCAAGATCAAGCCTGAGAAAAAGAAAGCCATAGTGACTCTCAAATTTGTCTCTACGCTAAAAATCCAAGACCAAGACGGTGTTGTCCCTGCTCCTACTGCAAGGATGGATGCTGTCAATCATGACTAACAAAATCGACAAAGCCAAGGCTTAGTCCCTCTTACTATAGCAAGAGGAAAATGATGTGGGTACATCCCGTCCTCCTCCAAGATGAACATTAGACTCTTCCAAAGTCATAAGTTAAAGAACAAGCGCAAGATGAAGTCATGTTACGTCATCTTCACAATTGTTGGAGAGGAATCTCTATGAGTTTCTTCACTCCTTGACTTAGAAGAAGGGAAAATTATTATGGTGGGGATAAGGTCTGGCTAAGATTATTTAAAGAATTATGATTAGTCAAGACCCTCCAAGCAATCTGAGTTGGCCAAGCAAAAGGAGACTCGGTTCGACAAGGCATTACAGTGTCCCTCAGATGATCCTAAATCCCCATTTTGATATGATATTAGGCACAATTAGCCAATATTTCAGCTCGTATAACCATGTTTGAACTTCTATGTTTGTTTAAGAAAACAAGAGAGGCTTTGAAAGAAGCTCTAAATGATAGTGAGATATTCCTCGCCCACATGGTCGAGCCTTCTCAGGATGAAGACACAAGCAGTGCTATCAGTGCCAACGGCAAACACCTTGTATCACCTTTACTCCAGATGACATGCTCATTAATGATCACCATCACAATTAGCCTCTTTACTATATCGAATATGTAGGGTCGATAAAGGTTGGAAGGATTCATATTGACCCACAGCATGGAGCTTAATTTCATGGAGACTCTTAAGCTTTCTGTGTATCCCCCTCCACAAGGTCTCAAAGACTATGTCCACCATCTTCGACTTCAACTCCAACAACAGCCGATCTCTTGGAAAGATCTAACTTAAATATCAGATTGATGATTTAAAGATGGAAGTGACTTTTTATACCATTGACCTCGAAACACCCGACAACCTTCTCCTTGGACTACTGTGGATCCACTCTAACATGATCATCCCATCAACGCTTCATTAATATTTTAAGTACATCAATGAGCAGGGGGTTCAACAAAAGGTCGATGCTAAAAGGAATCCTATCAAGGGAGTAGAAAATTACTTTACTGACTCTCTCTATATGATGAAAATCATACAATTTAGGTTGTTCTTCCCAATGATGAAGACATCGGTAAATAAAGCATAGAACAAGCCAGATACCAACAATGATCCAATCTAGGAAATATAAGCACTTGTAATTACCCCTGAGGATCCATCTATAGACCAGTCAGCCTAAGATCAGAGTTACTGGATCTTTAATGAAGAAGAGTTTGCTCATGACTATTCTTTAGACTCTGAGTATGAAAACTCAAGAGTCAAAACTCTGATGTCTAGGGTGTAACATTGTTTTTTCCCCTTCTGATGACCGGATACCATTATCAATACCTATCTATAAATTAGTACTTCTTTCTTTTTTGTATCCCATATAATCTTCTAGCATAAGGATTTTAACTTAGACAATTTTCATATTATGATCTAGTTAACTAAGTCATAGCATGCATACAAACTTAGCATATAAACCTAAGTTAACCATGCTTTAAATCTTGATTAGAGAAAACCAAATTATTAAATACCTAATGTAAAACTCTCTAATTAACATAGTTATTATATTTATTCAACCATGTTAGTGGGGAAAACTTTGCATAAAACCCATCAACTTTGGCCAAATTGAAGATTTCTCTTCACATGGCCTATATATATATGTGCACTCCACTTCTTCTTTTTGTCATAAAAGAAGAAAAATCACTCCAAAACCACCTCCCTCTCCTTTGAACATCCCAAGCTCATCTCATCTTGTTCAAAAATAAAAAAGAGATTTCATAGATTTCCATAAGCATCATCTCTTAAGCTCTAAAGATTGAAGAAGAAGTAGAGGAGAAAGAAGATAGTGGAGGATTTAGAGGAGAAAGTGGAGTAAGTCTCAACCCTAGGTATAATGCTCTTTTTTATATTGTTATTAAGGATATTAAACTAAAATTATATGATCTAATTTGGTTTTGGCCTTGCATGTGAGAATTTTATCATTGCATGTTACTTTGAAGCAATGACTGGCCCTTGCATGTCCATAATTAGTTATAAAAACATGATCTTTATATCTATGAGTATATAAAATATAATTTTTACTGGTTTATAAGCCTTATGTGATCAAGTATTAATCATCTTACTTTGGATTAGTGTAAATATGAGTTGCATGTCAATTTTATGTTGAAACATAAATTCATACAGAAATTTCCAGCATGATACTCTCCGATCATAACTTTCTTTGTACATATTCAAATGATGAAATTCTTTCTGTTCTAGAAACTAGACTTTTGTGTACTCATTTGAGATCCTATTTGTTTAATTCTAAAATCATTTACTAGTCTAAAAGTATGATTTAATGTAGTGCATGTGTCTGAAACTGTCTGCCTGAGTCTTGTCCTTTGTAAAGAGCATATATCTCAACATATACCATGCTTGCATGAAATTCTTTCTATTCCTAAAACTAGACTCAATTGCCTTTCTATTTATATGAGTTTGAATTAATTTGAATAATATTTGGTAGGTCTAAACCTAGTTCTAATAGCTAGCATATGTGCTGGAAATTCCAGTCTACCCTACTGTGTTGTTTTGAATGTAATATGCATTTTAAAAATGCAAAATTGATGAAACTCATGGTACATGGAAGCTAATCCATAATGTTACTTACATACCAAGTATGAGCTCTTTGGGATATAGTTAAGTACCTAAAAAAAATTATTCATTCTGAACGGTGATCTCTGTTTTTTCTGCTACAGTTTTGATAGGTATAGTTTTCTGAGAGCATAACTCTTACTATACACCATGCATTGATGTAAAAGTTTAATATTCTGAAATTAGACTCATAATGGAGTCATTTAGGACTAGTTTCATGCATTATGGACATCAATTGTTATACCATTCATTCACCTAAATCTACTGCATGTACACTACTTGTGTTGCTATGCAAATTAGAGATATTAGATAAACTTGTGTTGTAGTTAACACCATGATGTAAGCTTTAAGTTAGAAATTTTAAAAGACATAGTGTCTAAAATCTCATATGGCTATATATATATATATATATAGGACAGAGAATCTTGGATTCATTCGTTGGCTGAGTGGATCCCGGCATAATCGGTAGGTAACCTTTTATTGTTTCCTCTCAAGTCTTTGAGAGTTCGATTGATTACTTTCTTAAAGTTCCTACGAGTTAGTTTCCCATGCTAATTGTATATCTTATCACTTTCCTAATAATCCTATTTGATTCACTTCATGCATGGGCTCGTTGTTGATTGGTTAATCATTGCTATCCTAATGTTGTTTATTTCAGTTTTATACCTTCGATATCCTTGAATGATTTCATTGTAACAATTCGAATTGATTCGATGGTTCAACTATTGATAATGATAGTATTCCTCTCTTTGTTGATGATTGATTGTCTATATTCATGGATTATGCCCTGTGTGAAGTAAGCTTCACCGGTGGGTGATAATGATATAGTGTCCCGGTGGGACAATGCCCTGTGTGAGGACGCTCACCGGTGGGTGTATAAATGCATGCACCGTTTATTGATTATCCCATGATTAGGAAGTTTGGAATCCTGAATATTAGACCTTGATTATTCATCTTTACATGTTATTTCACTTCGGTTAATGATTATGATATAAGAATGGCAACTTAATGTTGAGATCCCTTTGTTCAAGTTTGATATCTATGTCTATCATTTTCATTCGTTCCCTTGAATTGTACCCGAGATTTTTATGGTTACTTATTGGGCCTTAGGCTCACCCCTATTATTTCTGAATCCACTCGCAGGTCATACAACTGGCAAGGATAAGGGCATTGCAGACCCTGAATTTGAAGATTAGCTCCGGGGGAAAATCTTAGTTGGGGTTAATTTATGTTCACTTTTGTAGTACTTTTGACTTATAAAACATGTATTAATATTGTAGCGACTGCTATTATTGTAATATTTTGTATTACCCTTTAGTTTCCTTTTATTTTGGTATTCTATGGACTCTGTTGTCAACCTCGTGATCCTGGGTATTGCTTATGCATCTCCACTACTTTATTTTTTGCCCCTTTAGTATATCTATGTTGTGATGTGAATAAAGATTTAACATGTTAACCCTTCTTATTACAGATAGGTCATGCTCAAATTTTTATTTACCTCCCAGAAGAGGGGTGTTACAGAGTGGTATCAGAGCACATGTTGACACCTTAAGAGTCCTATATTGAAATACCTAGGGGACGTAGGGATCTTTCTAGTCGGTGTCAAACACAAGTTATGGAGGGATTATCTTTCTATGACATTCTTGTGATATCTAGATTTCTATTAGGTTGGTTTGGTACCATTGGAGGATGATAGATGACGTTTGGCAGGAATGACAGATTCAGATTCGAGTGTTTCTGAGATGGAAGGATCCATTAGCAGCGGGGAGGTGTGATCAACACTTTCAGAGGATTGGGAGATCAGCTCTGAGGAGACTAACCCAGAGGAGATGTTTGGGGAGAGGGTGGATTACTCCCCGATTGTCCATCACACCCGTGAGCGATTAGCGAAGAGGGGCGAGGAGGAGGACCCATAGGAGGACCCGATAGAGGAGGATCCCGAGGAGGAGGACCTGCTAGAGGAGGATCCCGAGGAGGAGGACATGATAGAGGAGGACCCCAAGGAGGAGGACCCGATAAAGGAGGACCCCCAGGAGGTGGACCCGATAGAGGAGGAACCCAAGGAGGATGACCCAGAGGAGGACCCGGAGGACCCTATGGATGAAGAAGAGCCCATGGAGTGGGAATTTGAGGTGGCACCAGAGCCTCTACTCGGTGAGATCCTAGAAGGAGTTCCACTTGGTTGGGAGCTTGACCTAGATGAGGAGGATTGTGCATGGGAGGATGAGCTAATGGTGGAGGATCCTATAGAGGACGATGAGCAGGACGAGATCAGCCTCGACGGTAGTGAACCACAACCGACCGAGGACTCTGATACAGAATTTACTTTTAGCAGCCCTTCCACCTCTTCCTAGAGGTTGACCCATTGGGTCAATAACCTTAGGAATCTTATTACTTTTGGCCTTTGGGTGGACACCCAAGTGTGGTGTATTTTGGGACTGCATACTTTTCATCTATATATTAGATATGGATTATTGTACTTTTATAGAACTCTTGTATGGATGAATAGGTGTATGTTAATATTATATCAATGAAAAGATTTTGGAGAAATTAGTACTCTAAGTTGATTGTTGAAGTTCCTTATATATATTATGCGAGCAATGAAATATTTCTGAGTGAACTACTATGAATAGTCTGTGGAATCTGAACTTTTGCTGCTACATTTTCATATAGATAATGGTGAGAACAAGAGCAAATCATACCCAAAATGAGGAAGGACAACACCTGGAGAATACTAAAGAAGGATCTTATTGCCGGCAAACGGCCTGTTGATCAAGAAGAACCAATGCAAGACCCATTAGAACGATTGGCAGAGATCCTCAAGTAGCGTATCAATCCTAGAGGCAACCAACCAATACCTGCTATCTCAACCCTAGAACAATTTTGGAAGCTCACACCTCCATCTTTTTCGGGTACCACCGACCCTTTGGTGGCAGAGGATTGGATTTTACAAATGGAGAAGATTTTTATAATCTTAAATTGTGCAGAGGAGCAAAAGGTGTCATTCGCCGCCTTCATGTTTAGAGGGGAAGCTGGACATTGGTGGAGGGCAACCTTAAGATTAGAAAGGGCTGCCCAGAGACTGATTGATTAAGATAGATTTGTGGAGCTTATGAATAAGAAATATATCCCAAGAGTGTTAGGGATTAGTGGGCTATCGAATTTCAAGGTTTGCAGCAAAATAACATGACGGTCCAAGAGTATGAGGCTAAGTTTACTCAACTATCAATGTTTGCTCCATATCTGATTGCTGAAGAATCAGATAAGGCCAAGAAGTTTCAAAGGGGACTCAGGGGAAATATCAGAGGGAAACTAGTGGCCCTCAGGATCAGGAACTACGTAGAACTGGTGGAGACTGCATTTGAAATTGAGAAAGACCAGCTAGAGTATCAACATCGAATCAGCCCGGGAGGTTAGCGACAACAAAATTTCCCTTTCGTCGTGATCGAGCAAATCAGCCAAATAAGTCAGCAGCCTGCCCTAGATGTGGTAATCATCACTTTGGATATTGTAGACTTCACCGTGGATGTTTCGAGTGTGGTCAACCTGGGCACTTCAAGAGAGATTGTCCAACCTTGAGGAATCAAGCAATAACAGAGCGACCACCAAGAGGAGATCATGCAGCTCGAGCTAATACCTCACAACAATTAAATGCTCCCTAGCGGAAGGCTCAGTCCAACCAAAGTGTGCAGTAGAACCAAAGGAACCAAGGAAGAGTTTTTGCTCTGACAAGGAAGGATGCACAAGCATCGCCATTTGTGGTGGAAGGTACACTTCCCATATGTTCATTCACCGCTCATGCACTTTTCGACCCGGGATCTACACACTCTTTTGTATCATCTCACTTTACTAGGAACTTTCCCAACTCACCGACACTATTAAGTAGTGAGATAATTGTGTCCACACCTATGGGTGGTAGTCTCCTAGCAACATATGTTTATGAGAATTGTGGAGTTCTAGTGAGTGATCATGTCATGAATGCAGACCTTGTATGCCTAGACATGTCAGATTTTGATGTTATCCTAGGAATGGATTGGTTAGCATCTCATCATGCAACTGTAGACTGTTTGAGAAAACTAATAAAGTTTAAACCACAAGCGGAAGCGAGTTTTGTTTTCCAAGGGGAAAGTAGAAGACCACTCGCACACTTAATCTCATTTATGAAGGCTAATAAATTATTGAGGCAAGGTTATAGTGGATATTTAGCTTGTGTGATAAGTGACCAATTGAATGAGAAAAAGCTTTCATATATACTTGTTGCAAGAGATTACCCGGATGTCTTTCTAGAAGATTTGCCAGGATTGCCTCCAGATTGGAAGATAGAGTTTGCCATAGACTTGGTCCCAGGGACCACTTCTATATCTAAAGCCCCTTATAGATTGGCACCAGTTAAGATGAAGGAACTAAAGGAACAACTTCAAGAGTTATTAGATAAATGATTCATTAGACCTAGCGTGTCTCCATGGGGAGCACCAGTCTTTTTGGTGAAAAAGAAAGATGAGAGTATGAGACTCTGTATAGATTATAGAGAGTTGAATAAATTGACCATTAAGAATAAGTATCCACTCCCAAGGATAGATGATCTATTTGATCAGCTTCAAGGAGCTCAATATTTTTCCAAAATTGATTTAAGGTCATGATACCATTAGTTAAAGATTAAGCCCGAGGACGTAGCAAAGATAACATTCAGGACTCGCTACGGTCACTATGAATTTTTAGTGATACCTTTTGGATTGACTAATACGCCTGCCGCATTCATGGATTTGATGAACTGGATATTCAAACAATATTTAGATCAATTTTTGGTGGTTTTCATTGATGACATATTGATCTATTCGAAGAGTTACTAAGAACATGAAGAACATTTGACGATTGTATTGCAAATCCTAAGAGAGCAACAGCTATACGAAAATTTTAAGAAGTGTGAATTCTGGCTAGAAAGGGTGATGTTTTTAGGCCATGTGATCACTAGAGATAGGATATCCATGAATCCAGCGAAGGTTGAAGATATCGTGAACTGACCGTGTCCCACCTTAGTGACTGAGATTCGTAGCTTTTTGGGACTAGCAGGATATTATAGAAGATTTGTTAAGGACTTTTCCCAATTAACAGTCCCTTTAACTTATTTGACTCGTAAGAATGTCAAATATAATTGGAGTGAGAAATGCGAAGAGCATATTCAGGAGTTGAAGAAATGGTTGGTAACTGCTTCCATCCTCAGTATCCCTATGAGTTCAGATAAGTTTGTGATATATAGTGATGCATCTTCCAGAGGTTTAGGTTTTGTTCTAATGCAAAATGAGAAGGTAGTAGCTTATGCCTCCAGGAAATTGAGACCTCATGAGAAGAATTACTCCACTCATGATTTGGAATTGGCTGCTATGATTTTTGCCCTGAAGATATGGAGACACTATCTATATGGGGTATCATATGATATTTATATAGATCACAAGAGCCTAAAGTATATATTTACTCAGAAGGAGATTAACATGAGGCAAAGAAGGTGGTTGGAATTGCTGAAAGACTGTGATGTAAATATTCTTTACCATCCAGGTAAAGCTAATGTAGTAGCAGATGCACTTAGTCGGAAGAATCATATTGCATCCGCTTGTTTGCTAACTAAACAAGACGAGTTAAGTAAGGAGCTTGAGAGAATGGAGATTGAAGTTAGAAAGTATTCTTCTGAAATAAAAATTTGTCAGATAAGCCTACAACTTACTCTGTTGGACCAAATCAATAAGCGACAGAAGGAAGACAAGGAGCTAAGTGAGATAAGGAAGAAGGTGGAACAAGGAAAATATTCAGACTTTAAGATTCAAGATGGTGTTTTGAAGATGGGTAATCGACTTTGTGTACCCAATGATGGGGAGCTTAAGGATCAGATATTGAGAGAAGCTCACCAGACCCTATATGCTCTTCATCCGGGTAGCACCAAAATGTATCAGAACCTCCGACAAAACTTCTGATGGAATCGCATGAAGGAGGAGATAGCTGAACTTGTGTCAAAATGTTTAACATGGCAACAAGTGAATATTGAACATCAGAAACCATTAGGACTATTACAACCTTTGCACATCCCATAATGGAAATGGGATCACATCATTCTAGCATTGGCATGGCAATAATAGCTTTCATTCTAGCATTGGCATGGCACCTTATGAAGCCCTATATGGGAGGCGATGTAGATCCCCTATCTGTTGGAAAGAGACCGGTGATCGTCTACTACTCAGACCAGACGTAATCCAGAAGAAGATCGAGAAGATCCAAACTATTCGACAACATATGCAGACGGCCCAAAGCAGGTAAAAGAGCTATGCAGATAGTCAATGCAAGGACCTAGAATTCCAAGTTGGTGATCATGTGTTTCTAAAGGCTACACTAATGAAGGGAATAACAAGAGGTGGCAAGAAAAGCAACTTCGTCTGAGATACCTCGGGCCATTCAAAATTTTGGAGAAGATTGGACCTATGGCCTACCGGCTAGCCCTGCCCCAGAATTGGAGAAGATTTATAATGTGTTCCACGTCTTAAACCTTAAGAAGTATGTACCAGACCCAGGACACATCATTTCACATGAAGCCTTGCCCCTGTGGGAGGATCTATCTTATGAAGAACGACCGATTCGAGTGCTAGGCTTTAAGGAGAAGCAGGTGAGAAATAGGTTTATATTGCTAGTTAAAGTGTTATGGAACAATCGAGGCATTGAGGAGGCAACATGGGAACTAGAATCTGAGATATGTAAAGTATATCCGTATTTATTTTTGAGGGTACGTATAAATTTCGGGGATGAAATTTCCTTAAGGGAGGAAGTATGTAACATTGCTTTTTCCCCTTCCGATGACCGGATATCATTATCAATACCTATCAATAAATTAGTAATTCTTTCCTTTTTGTATCCCATATAATCTTCTAGCATGGGGATTTTAGTTAGACAATTTTCATATTATGATCTAGTTAACTAAGTCATAGCATGCATACAAACTTAGCATGTAAACTTAAGTTAACCATACTTTAAACCTTGATTAGAGAAAACCAAATTATTAAATACCTAATGTGAAACTCTCTAATTAACATAGTTTTTAGGATTCAGATCCTCTCCACTATCTAAAAAGTAGTGGATGAACCACTACATAATCATAACCATTGATTATCTAGTTGGTGGTTATGATTTTTTCTTTGAGTGCAAATTAAAAATGAGTGCAATACNATCTAAATCCTAGTTATTATATTTGTTCAGCCATGTTAGTGGGGGAAATTTTGCATAAAACCCCTCAACTTTGGCCAAATTGAAGATTTCTCTTGGAAATTTTGCATAAAACCCCTCAACTTTGGCCAAATTGAAGATTTCTCTTCAC